TCTCTGTAGATGATTTGATTATCAGTATATATGGCAATGTGAATGTTCACATTTTGTTAATGTGGATTATGTGAAGAATGTGGATGTTCTCATTTAAAATTGATGTTTGCTGAATGAGGCTCTGTGTGTGTCATATAATTTAGAGTGTCCGTGTCAATGTAAATGTTCACATCTTGCGAATATTATGTGAAGGTTGTTGATTTTCTCATTTTACTTTGATGTTTGCTTAATGTTGACATGTTGTTAACAACAATGTGAATGTTCACATCTTCGTATTCTGAATTATGGATTTAGCACTTGAACTGTACGCGTACTCATCTATTTTTTGCACAAAGTGAATTTTCATATTGATTTTTATTTTTGTTCGCTGTTGTGTTTTTGTGTTTTCATAGGAGATGGATACCTTTATGCTGTTGGTGTGTACATATGGTTGCAGTACAACTGTAATAAATGTTGCCCGCGCAATGTGTTATTCTCGTTTGGTGGAGTGTTTGTGTGAGAAATGGGATGAGTTGTCTGCTGGTTCTATTTCACTGTTCTGTAAACTACTTGGGATTAGTAAGTGTGATTTGGACAATGAGGAAGAATTTCAGAACATGTTATTGCTTGCTAAATCAATGGGGGTACAACATGTAGAAGTTGTGGTTGAGTTGAAAAGTGGTATTGGTCAGTCAACTAGTTTGGGATTGGTGCGTGTGGGGGTTGAGGAAGAAATTGATGCATTACGGAGATTTTGCCACCATAACGAGAAGGTGTTGTTGTCAGTCCCTTGGGCAAATGGTATTACGCATGTGGGGCAACGGTTTGTTGGAGGTGCACAAGAATTTCGTGACGTTTTATGTAAGTACGCCATCCAATGTGGGTTTCAGTTTACATACGTGAAGAACGAGACAACAAGAGTTACTGCTGTGTGTGCGATGCGGGAGGAGAGGGGCTGCTTGTGGGCTATACATTGTAGAGCACAACGAGCAAATGATTTTTTCTACATCAAGAGTTTTAGTGATGTGCATACTTGTGGTACCGATGTTCGAACATCGAAGAATCCGCGAGTTAGTTCGGATTTGGTGTCGAGTACCATATATGAAATTGTGAGGGACAAGCCGTTGACTCGGCCGTGTGATGTTGTGACTATTTTGAAGAGGGATTATGGGCTAGATGTGAGTTACCATGTCGTATGGTTGGCTGTGGAGAAAGCAAAGGCTGGTATTCATGGAGATCACTCATTATCGTTTGACCAGCTGCGGTGGTATTCGGATGCTGTGATGCGGTACAATCCGGGGAGTTATGTCAATATTGACTATGATGCGAGTAGTCAATAGTTTCGTCGTTTCTTTGTGTCATTCGCTGCGTGTATTTCTTGGTTCAATTCTTGTCGGCCTTTATTATTTTTGGATGGAACATTCCTCAAAGGAAAGTACAAAGGTCAGCTACTGGCGGCAACGGCGAAAGACGGAAACAATGGTTAGTATTTTTTTTACCTGTATATTCATGTCAATATTCACATTGACATGCATAGTGTGGACAAATGAGTGATTGAGAAATTATAAGTACTGTGAACATTGACATTAGTATGCACTGATGTGAATGTTCACATCTGTGTCTGCTGATGACTATAATGTGAACATTCACATTATTATACACTGATCCATTCACATTATTATACATCTGTGCCTGCTAATGACAGTTATGTGAACATTCACATTCACATTAGTGTATACTACTGTCAGTTGATCCATTAATGAACAGTACTGTGAATGTTCACATTATCAATTGATAAATAATCAAAAATGAATTATTAATGGTCATTAATGTGAATGTTCACATCATTGTTGTTTACGAACTTGAATCCAGAAATAACAATAGTAATAGGGCAATGTAGATATAAACATTCACATGACCTGTTTCGTTTATATTGTTTTCTATTCATTTTGGAATACTGTGAACAATTGTGTATTGGTGTTGTGTTGTAGGTCTGTTTCCTATTGCATTTGCGATTGTTGATTCGGAGACCACGGCGAATTGGTCGTGGTTCTTGCATGAACTTGGGAAGGTTGTTGATGGTAAGCGCCAGATTACTTTTATTTCGGATCGTAATCTTGGCCTGTTAGAAGCTATGCTGAAGGTGTTCCCATCGGCTCATCACGGTTATTGCTTACAACACTTGAAGAGCAATTTAAGAGACCGGATGAAAGAAATTGATAATGGCTTCAGGGATCACCTAGTAAGTAGTTTGGGTGATTGTGCTTATGAGCCAACTGTGGTAGGGTTCCATGAAAAGCTTGCAAAATTAAAAGAGGAGGGTAAACAACGAGCACATGATTTTTTCAAGGACTTGGCACATGAGCACTGGGAAAATTCATACTTCAGGTAATAATAGTTTCATAAAGTATTCCATTTGTCAAGTCAGAATGGTAGCGATGTGAATTATCAGTTAGGAATTGTAAAAATCTTCCAGTTGTGTTTCATGTTCAATGTTAATGATGTGAATGTTCACATCTGATAATAATGACTGATTTGAATGATGTGAATGTTCACATCTGTTGTCATATTTTGCTGTTGTTAACATTCACATCATTCTGTCATTTAAGTTGATGTTAGTGTTCACATATGTGCATCGTGTAAGTTGATGTTAATGTTCACTGCGAATGATGTTAATGTTTACATCAGTCAACGTGAATGTTCAGACCTGTTAACTTTTGTATTGTAAAATGTTTGTGATATTGTGCAGGGGCATGCGTTATGGGGAGATGACTTCCAATGCGACGGAGTCATTTAATAACTGGATTAAAGAAGCGCGTAATCTTCCTATCACTCAAATGGCGGACACAATTCGTACTCAGTTGATGCGGCAAATGTCTGCACGGAGTGACCAAGCAAACAAATGGAATGACCTTATTTGTCCTACATTTGAAACAAGGCTTATGGATTCGTTCAATGACAGCAGGTCTTGGCAAGTTAGCAAAGCCAATGAGAATGTGTTTGAAGTTCATTCGATACCATCTGTTACTGTTGATGTTGCGAGGCGTACATGTTCGTGCTTCAAATGGCAAATCAACGGATTCCCATGTGACCATGCTGTTGTTGCCATTCAGAAAAGCCGCTACAATCTCAATGATTGTGTGGAACATTACTTTCATGTACAGACATATCCTGCAGCGTATTCGGGTGCCATATTCCCTATACCATCGGTGGAGAAGCCGCCTTTTGATCCCATGGACTTCACTATATACCCGCCAACTGTGAAAAGACCACCCGGAAGGCCGAAAAAGAATAGGATCCCATCAAGGGGTGAGAAACTGAAGCAAATAAGGTGCGGGAGATGTGATAAGCTGGGGAACCATAATCGAAAGTCATGCAAGGAGCCGATATAGGATGTACATTTTTCATTTTAATGTTGTGTTTTACATTGGATTCTTATAGTCATTTCTGAAATAAGATTGTGTTGTGTTGGCAAGCAAAATAATGGTTTGGCAAACTTAGTATTTCATTTGTGCTTTTTCATTTTCTTTTTGTGTATGAAACTGATTTTTTGTTAAAGTTGTAATGATAAATACATGATGTGGACATTCACACTTACGTAAACGAATCATATTATGTGAAAACTTGCACATGGGTTGAACGTTTTTACCTTATTGTTGTCAATGTTGACATGAATATAAGATGTGATGTGAACTTTCACATGCATGAAGATTGACATGGTGTGAACATGCACAACTGTTATGAATGGAAAGAAATGTGAATATTCACACCTGTTCATGTTACCCGTAATGATGTCATGCAAACAATGTGTACATTCCTGCACAAGGTATGTGTATTACATAAAAAACTGGTTCCACAAATCGCATCAAATATGCTCATCACAACACGACATTATGAATACCATAAGTGAGTATGAACATTCACATCAGTGTTGCAACTGTGAATAGTCACAGCTGTAAACATTAGTGCATATGAATATCATAAGTGAATGTTCACATTTGGCGGAGAAGAATGTCATTTAAAACTGCTATGAGCAAGAACAAATGTGAATATTCACACATCTGTATGTGATCCGTAATTATGTCACATAGACCAAGTGTACACTCCTGCACAAAGTATGTGTATTATACAACAGTCAGGTTCAAACATTCGCAGAAATTACACTCATAACAACACAGCAGTGTGGATATCGTAAGTGACTGTGAACATTCACATTAGTGGTACAACTGTGAACATTCACATATGTAAAACATAACAACACCAAAAGTAGTTCAAAATTCGCAGCTGCCTTTTTCCTATTAACAAATGTTGTATCACTGTTTTACAATCAGTTGTTGTGTCAAAATATCAACGCATTCCATATTAACATTCAAATCGACTGTTAGTTAGTTTGTAGGTGGACACCCCCCACCTGTAGGTTTTAAGGAAGCTCTAATTTCTTATGATTCAAAAAACTATGCACTAACAAATCTCGTAGTCCACACCATTCTGAACTACTGAGGCTGCCCACAATTTCTTCATGATATATGTGCGCCCGCATGATGTAACATACTGCAGGTCCGTAGTCCACTCTGTAAATGCGAAATGGTTTTGATTAGCAGTTGACATAAATATTTGCATAATGGTTATGGAGGATTTGAAAAAAATGTAGTGAGGCTTACGAGTCGTCACCTTGCTGAGGACAGACATCAACACTTTTGGTTGGTTGTGCTGGATTTTGGCCTGCTAACTTAGTGTATAGCGGTGATGACTCGCCAATAACGCTCACAACATGCTCAATGTACTTCCTCTGTGTATGGAATTTCAAATTAGGCACCAACAAATATATGTGTGTGTACAGTCATTTAATGTACGAGAACAAGTCATGTTTGTGTTAAAAAATAGCCACTTACAATTTCCTGTGCTTGGTCGATATGCGGGTCATGTATGCTTGTTCATGGGCGCAACGAGTTGTAATGCTTCCACAAATTGTCTTTAGCATCATACACAACTATCGTCCAGTGGTACTCATGATGCAATGAGAATAGTAGGTATCTCTCTCCTTGGTAGTTTTTGACATGTGCATCAATGTGTTTACTCCTTTTGCGAGGATGGTACTCTCGTATCACTTTCTGTACACATTTGACAAATAATTAATGGACTGTGAAGTTTCACAGTCACATTACAAGTAATGGAATGATAGATTTTACCAAACACATGCTCGTGAAGATCAATGAGGCTTCATCCGAAGTTGGGTTGACCACCTCTTGTTGTTCATGCAACAGTTCAGCATATGCATCTATGAGCTGCACAAACATGGGGTCATATTATATAGATTTTGTGGATGTGAGTGTGTGTGTGTGTCTGTGTGTGCATATGCATGAAGAGTGAATTATATTTGTAATGGCATACATTGCTGTGTATTGATTCCTCCTTGATAAGGTTGACAATGTCATCAAAATACACATGTGTAGCCTTCGAATCTCTTTTCCACACCAACAGCCTGTGCATTATGAACAAACCAATGTAATATTTACGTTGCACATATCTGAACAAACCAAAAAAATTGAACACAGTGAGGAATATAGACTATTACGGAATGTGAATGTTAACATTGGATGTTTGTACAGCCACTTACTCATCGCCTCCATTTTTTTGTAAAGCTTGGACCTTTTGTTTGTCTTGTTTGGACATCTTGGCCCAGACTTTGAACTTGTTGGTAAAGGATAATTTTTTTGGCTGCTTTGCTGGTGGGTGTTTCTCCACATCTTCAACCATTTCGACTAGATGGGGCTGCTTTTGGCCAGGTAAGTCTGGGTACTGGAAGTCAGGCAAGCGATGTTCTTTGCGATCTTTTTCCTTTATACGCTTGACCCTAGAAGGTGGGCTGATATTGTGTTGCATTGGGCTAGGGGGTTGCCTTTCTACCACAGCCTGTGTGACAATGTGGATTGACTGGTCATCGTAAAGATCCTAAAGAATTGTTTTATCGCATTAAACTGAATAATCGATAAACTGAATAACCTAAACTCCCCTCTCCGAAATAATCGATACTGGAGCAATGTTGAGTCTAACCTTAAGCTCTTGAAATGACTTTTTAGAAGTTTCACTTCATGCAAATTTAATTCTCTTCCTCGTAAATTTAGTCAATGGTGAGGCCAATCTAGAGAAGTCTTTGACAAAATGTCGGTAATACCAAGCTAAGCCTAAGAAACTCTGGATCTTAAAAGCATTCTTAGGTTGTTCCCAATTTTGCACTGCCTCTATCTTAGAAGAGTCTATAGTCACCCCTTCCCCATATACCACATGGCCTAAGAACTGAACTTCCTTTAGCCAGAACTCGCACTTCCCAAACTTAGCATATAAATAGGGTGCTCTAAGAAACTCAAGTACAACCCGCAAGTGTTCCTCATGTTCCTCGTCGGAGGGTGATTAGATTAAGATGTCATTGTAGACACCCCATTTTTGACTGCCTGTAAGACTCGAGCGCTTTGTCTTGTGCACTCGATGATGAAAGTTACATTGTGTGAGATTCGAATGCTCAATGAAGGAATCCAGTTTTGAGTTCTAAACACATCACAACCTTCCATACCAAGTTGTTTCTATGCTTCTAGACCACAAAAATTCATCTTTGCACTGTGCCACCCTACACTGAGCCTAAAATAGAGCAACAAGGCAGCACATTGGGGCCCAACCGTGCCTCATTGGGAGCCGACCATGGCCATTTGGGGCCGGTCGTGCCTTGGTAGTGATAAACACTATTCTGAGCAGAACCCCACTAGCTGTCTATTTTTGAAGATATTTTCGACCTATTTTGCTCAAAATCTATAAATACGAGGTTATATCTTTGTTTTGAGGGTTGAACAATTTCCAAAGAGCTTATATATATACTTTAGAGCCCCTTCTTCTTGTGCAAGCCACCATTGAGCAAACCTATCCCCCTTGAAACATCTCTATACACCACATACAACCTTAGAACAAAGCCTTAGAGTCTTGGTTGATCCTTGAGCACTTATTTCTATCCCTTACCATCAATTTCTTGTATCTTTGTATTGTTTTGGATCTATTTCAAGTGTTGGAACTTGGGTTTGAATAGCTACCAAAGGTAGAAAGGTTTAATATCCCTTTCTTGCACCTTACTTCATAGCTCATACCCTTGTCTTTACACTTTTTGTTTAGTCTTCAAACTGAGTTTTCAGAGTTCAAAATAAGCTTAAAAAACATGGTCTGAGGTTTCAAAAATAGAGGGGCTAGTCACCTCTCCTTGCTCTTGTTCACTAGTCTTGTGATTCTTTGCTATTTCCTATCTTTTTTGAACTCTTTAAACATCGTTTTAGTCACTAGTTTTTACATATTAGGGGCTGTTTAGACTTGTTTCAATTCATTTAATTGGTTCATGCTTTGAATACTTTGACCATCATGTTGTAAGTCCTCATGGCTTTGCTTGTTTAGGCCTTAGACATCAAGCCATTTAAGTTGATAGCTTTTCTTTGCTTGGTTTTCATATTAGAAGTCTCCTTCTTCAAATCAATCTCACAATCATGTCTCCAACCTCCCTCTTTTCTTCTTTTCTTTTGTTTGAGAGTTGTCTCAAAGGATTGATGCTTATTCAAGGCATGGGAAAAATACCTATACTCAATGGCTTAACCTCTACAGGGCTTCATCGTCAAGGCATAGTCCCTCTTTCATGCTTTGGATAACTTCTCGTTTGATGTTCCTTCTCATTTAGTGGACTTAACCATCATTTTGGGACAAGTTGATTAAAGAATGGGGAGGACTAATAAAATGAGCTTAAAACCAATGAAACCAACATAAAGAAAATGAGTAAGATTGCTTGGATTTGGTTGGAAGTTATGTCGAGTCCATAGTGTCAAGAGTCGTCACGCACCAATTCATGATGCGTTGATGAAATTTGAAGTGTCTCTACCTCCCTCTTTGAGCTCACTTCATGATAGGAGTGAGAAGTGGTTATTCATTGCATTTATTGATTTTTGTCCAATTGTCTTCGAAATCATCAAGCGATCAACTTGCTTATTGATGGTCTTGTAACCAACTTCATTCTTCTCTTGAGCCTCTCCATGTCAGAGAAAAGCAATGCGGACAAACAGAGCTCAAAAAAGCTTTGTCTGCACTGTTTTCACCTCAGAGCACAGAAGCTGACTTTTGCATGAAATTAGGGCACGACCGGCCTTGTTTTGGCCCGACTGGGCCTCATTGGGGGCCGGTTGGGCCCCAATGTTTGGTCAACAGTGTGTTTTACAGAAACAAAGGGCAGTGGCTGAAGGTGAAATATGACGGATTCCCGAGAAGGCAAACATAGTTGCTTATGAAAACAGTCACGTGCATGCAAACCTTGTGAATCTTTGCTTATATTAATATTGTAAATTAATGTTCCCATTATTGTTGTAATTAATTAATTATCATTATAGTTAGCATTGTTGTAATTATTATGAATGTTCATTGTTGATTAACTTAGATAGTTAGTTTTATTGTTCATCCTTGTTCTAGTAAATTAGATAACTAGTTAGTTATTTAGTATTCATTAGCTTAGATCCTTCATTTGGTTTTGTAATAGTTAGTTCATTTCGGACACTTGGACATTCATTTAGACCCTCTTGCATGAGGGCAAAGCCATGTAATAAGTGCGCATGTCTTCTAACCCCACGTCTTTCTCTATTTTATTTACTCGTTTATGATGGATAGTTTAGAGCATCACATTTCATTTAGCATTTCTCATGATTTGCATTCATTGTCTTGCATGCATTAGGCTCGGAGCATCATTCTAACTCACATTGTTATTTATTACTTCTTTGAAAACGTGTTTAAGCCGCATGCTATCACATTGATTCACATGCCATGCTAGTAGCCGAGCCTATGATTGCATATTGTATGTGTTGCGTTAGTCACTTGCATATTAGAGCATGCATTTTCCTAATTGTTTTATTTCTTTTGGCTTGCCTTGGAGTACTCGGTGAGCATTTATTGCTTTAGCATATTGCATACGTGCGAATGTTGCCATGTTAAGCATACCTTCCATGAGGCTAAGTGTTTAAGTGATATATTTGTTTGAATGCCGGTGGATGACGGCCTTTTTACTTAAGTTAGAATAATTTGATTAAATGTAAATACGAGCTCGCTTTTTCAAGTGCCATGTTTTCAAAACTCCTTTTCAAAACAAACATAAAATCAACGCATTCCAAATTTTGTGAATTAGTGTATACTTGTGTGCATCACCTAGTAAAGATAGCATAAATAATCGGAGCAAGTGCATATAATGTAAATAGAAACCACATCATGATTAGTAGAGGTCAATCTTTAATCGGGTGAATGGGGTGCTCAATTCATGACCTTTCCTCTTCATACCTAAGTTCCCAAGTTGAGACACTTTGGTGATGACGGATAAGTGGCCTTTGGCACAAGTCATAGGTTTCCTAAATTTTCCAAAAATATTTAGGTGGTGACTCTGAAATCTAGCAAAGTAGTTCATTTTTGGCATTTTGATTCAAAATCAATTTTCCAAAAGAATTGTCGGATTTGGACTCATTTGTGTTTATCTATTTCATATTGCACTTATGGAATTAGATTCAGAACCACGGGAGTTCGAACTGTAGGGCTAGTCGTATTCGAAAGAAGTACAAAAAGCAAGCTACAATCATCCACAAAGACAACCACGAAATGGTCTAAGAAGTCACGGAAGATTCGATTCACCAAATCCATAAATGAAGCCGGTGCATTGGTTCACCCAAAAGGCATCACTAAGAACTCATAGTGGTCATACTGCATACAGAATGTCGCTTTCTGAATATCTTCCTCCTTCACCCTCAACTAGTGATAACTCGATCTCAAGTCAATCTTAGAAAAGCAACACGACCATTTCAACTGGTCAATCAAATCATCTATATGTAGTAATGCATACTTGTTCTTAACAATTACCCAGTTCAACTCTAGGTAATCAATGAACAGTCGTATTGTGCCATTCTTCTTCTTAGAAAAGACAGTCTGTGCTCCCAAAGGCGATGTACTAGGGAAAATGAAGCCCTTATCTGATAGTTCTTGGAGTTGAATCTTCAACTTATACAACTCGGCGGGTGCAAATCTATATGGTGCCATGGAAATCGATGTCGTACCAAGCACTAAGTCAATGGAGAACTCAATCTCTTGGTGGGGTGGCAAACTAGTAAGATCTTCGGGAAAGACATCCGGGTATTCACAAACTACCCTCGGCAAATCAACTCAAACCACATCACTCTCACTACCTAAGAAGGTTGCAAGAAGACAATTAAGCTCGCCCTAACCACGTGAGTTATACACTAGTGGCAAAACTCTATTAGCTCAGTCTCCTAGAAAATAAAAATAGTCACCACTTGAGGTGCACACTATAACCCTTTGATGGTAACAATCTATAACGGCACGATATGAAGACAACCAATCCATGCCTAAAATGACATCAAAACCTACACATATCTAACAATATGAAAGCAAAAGGAATGACCGACAACCTCTATCTCAT